CTTGCTAGAGTCAGAATAAGTGGGGACTGTTTTGCCAATTTGACTCCAATCACCAAATTTATGAGAAAAAGAAGATTACAGATAATATTTTTGACTGGTGACAGAATGAGTTTGTTTCAAGAAAGAATCAGAGCTGATAGTGAGGAATTCCAGCAATTCGGCACAATCAAACTGCAACTCATTTGAGGATGGAAAAAGCTGAAAAGGAAAACCATTACATACAAATTTCTCTACATACGAGCAAGCTCCGAATTAGATCATCTAAGAGCTGTGTGAGAGGTACTATTTTTACTTTTCTATGTCATTGCACAGAGATGTTATATAATTGCAGTTGTAAAAGAAGTTATCGATTCAGCTGTATGTGGGAGGGAAAGTGGTACATGACACACTGTATTAAACAGCACGGAATGGGCCAAAAGCAATTAGTTAGATACATTCTTTGGCACTACCTTTGCTTCACTTATCCTGCCCACAACAGGGTTGTCAGACTAAAACCATGATCTTGGGTCACTTTTTTCTACTATTTTATTTCTGTCATCTCTTGGCTTCCTCGACTTTGCATTTGATGATTCTCCCTTTGAAGGTAATAACAGTTATTAATAGAAATAGGTTCAATACTGGACTGATAATCAAAAACCCATGGTGATCCCAGATTGAACATACCATCTGTTAATGGCAGATAAACATTCAGATCATACATGTGACTTTCATGCTCTTTGTAGTTGTCTTACTGTAGATGATAATCTAAGGCCTGACACTGTTTAATGTAATTTTACCAGCTGGCTCTGAGCCCTCTCCAGGCCATGTTAGCATTTAACTGTCAGAAGAAATGAAAGCATTTCATTATCTTACTTCTCTCTAGGTTATGGTGACATTCATCACACAGTGCTGCTGACTGCAGAAGTTGGATGCACTTTGTAACATCCCCTCTCCTCCACTTAGTCTGCTCAAAGCCTGAAAGAACATATCTTTTATGGTGTTTTGAAATTACCTGTCAATTGGAAATTAAGCTTAATCAGCAAATCTAAAGTCACAGCAAACACTCCAGCATTTACATTGGCAAGAAGCCCAGGTATTAATCAAGGGTAGTAGTCCTTCCATGGACCTGTGGATACCTCTGTGGACAGAATAAAGCAAAGCTCCTTTAGGAACCTGAGCTGCTCAGAGGAAGCAGTCCAGACTGGTGTAGTGTATATTCATAGTGTCCTGAGAGAGAAGTCAGTCTTCGGGCTACGTCTGTACAGTATCTATGGGACCCTGGCCAAAATCAGGAGTTTCCAGCAGCTACCACAGCATCAGTCAGAAGCAAGAAGGCAATGCGGAGACTAGAAAGACAGGAAGAGCAGAGCCAACATAAGAGAGTCAGAGGCAGCATGAGTTCCACATAATATAAGACAGATAGACAGACGGATAAAACATAAGCCCTATGTTTATATACGTAGAGATATACATAGAGAGATGTTCTTTACATCAAAGCTTTCTGAAGTTCAAGCCTTTGTCCCAGCTTTGTTTGATTCTCAGGGTTCAGCTCCTGGACAACTGCAAAAACAGTATCCAAGCTGTTGGCGCAGAGCGATGTGAAGATAATTCAGCACTGCCCTCCATCATTTCAGACTAAGCTAAGCTGCATTATCTCCCATTTGCTAGGGAGTAAGGGTGTACACAAAGACTGTTTCCATGGCTTAGCTGCCTCAAGGGAATTTCTTAAGTAACTTGACTGAATCTGAGCCCTCAGACCCAGAGCTGACCAAAGTCTATTTTCACAAACGTATGTTATGGAACAGCTTGGGGAAAGCTAGACACTTTTACACTCTTACCTCCAAATATTTACAATCTGTGCAGTACAGCATAGATAGAGGAGCTACACATAACTCAGCCCAGCAGCTCAGACCACTCACCGGGAGTTAGAACAGAAGTCTCCTTCCTTCACAGACCCAACACACTCCACTCCTGCATGTTACACACAACCTGCAGAATGGACAAAACAAATTCATCACTTGAGAGACTGTGCTGAAAAAAAGTTCTGAATAAAATAGGGGGGCCCAAACAATTGTTGGTTCTCCACTGTATTCCCACAATGCTGTTGTGTAACAAGAGTTTTATGCAAACACTTTAATGTTCCTTAGATAGAAGCAATTTTTCCTTTTATGTAAAAAAATTTGAATTGTCTCATTTTTTTATTTTTCACAGGGCCTCTTTGGTTATTTGTCTCCCTTCCCTGTCTACAAGGACTTTAATTTTTCTTTGGCTTTTAAAAAGCAAAATATTTTATTCCAATTAGAATCAGATACATCAGTTGTGGTTCCAAGCAACCCCCCTGCATTCTACAACTGTAAGCAAGGACCGTTCTTGCATTTGGATCTCTTCAAAGCATTGCCAGATACATAGAACTTATTGGCAGTGAAGCACACATGGAAATGCTAAACTGCTCCCCCAAAACTTGGATGTTTGCTGTCTAAATAAGACCTGTTCCCCAAAATTAATTCTGATTACTAGAAACAGATCTGGGTGTTAAGGGAGAAGCCGCTGCCCGAACATTCACAAACCATTCGAGGAGCTGCACACACACCACCTGAGACTTTAACTGCTAGGACTGGAGTCCCTTCACAGTGGGCAGCTCCAGTGAGCTGATGGGTGCCCCTTCCAACTCCTCACACACACACGCTCACCCTCGGGTGTTTCGTCTTCCCTCAGGCTCAGCTCTAGCTTTCCTGAAGAAGAGTCTCTGACACAACATACATCAGGCAAATTTATTGAGAGGTACAGCAGTATAGGACAGCTCGAGCTGGGTGGCTCTGGAGAGGGATCCCAAACAAAGAAATCTCTGGGCAATTATACCCTTACAATCTAAGTTCCCCTCATGCGACGGTTCAGTCCAATGGTAATATTTGGGTCTGGGGTCTTCTTGTTCCTCATTGGATCCTTTTTCTGTCTCCAGGCAGGCTGTTCCTTTCCTCATCTCGAGGATGCAGCTTCTGCCGACAGATGTGGTTATCTTACTTTTCACAGGATGCACCCATCTCAGGGCCTCCCTTCATGTAACTGAGTATAAACTCAGCGTAAGTTCACTGCTTGTGGCCTAAGGCTTTAGCAAATCTATTAATGCTATACAATGGATTTTGTTTGAGCTAGGAGGTGACTATACAATGGATTCCGTTTAAGCTACTATAACATGGGATTACTGTCAGCTATCAGAAGTGTAATAAAACAGCAAATGCTTCTTTAAATTCCTCTGACGAGTAAAACTCAGTTGATCTTTGTTGCTCTTCTTTTGCCTTTGCTGCACATGCAGTAACGTCCTGCAGTTTTTGAGAACTTAGCTCAGAGCTCAAATAAAAAGCCATGATGAGCTGCTAGTATTTCTGTTCCTCGTTCTCACGGAAGCTACCTTTATTGCCCCTCTAACTCCCATACGCTCCTGTTTAACATACCAGCCATGGATGCAGTGATGGGAGACAACAGTAATTCAGAGATCACACTCCCTCATGCAGAGATCTCAGCGTACCTACAAGGAGCCAGATTCTGTTTGTTAGCAGTGTAAGCAGAAAGCACATAGATTATGGGCTCAGCATGCATCAATCTGCCATCAGACCTGTTCTTTACCACGCAGGTGGTCCCAAACATTTGCTGGTTTTGCTTCTAGGGAGGTTTGTAACCTGCACCCTCAGTCTGGATGCTGAAGTTCCTCAGCTGTGAGAGGATTGCTCCCTGCCAGCGTCCACCACGTACCGTGCATCTCCCTTCTTTTGCTGGGGAGTCCCGGGCTGCAGCGCTCGGAGGGCAGCTGAGGATACCAGTCCGCAGAAAGGCACGATTTCATTAGACAGCAGACAGTTCACAATTCCTAGGAGATATCAAAGCACAGCGTTTTCAAATCAGAAGAGCTTATTTTCAAGCCATGCGGTTATTTAATGAAAGATTGGTCTTCCTCAGGCGGAAAGCTGACATTTTAGGTAAAATGGCATTTTTCCCATTGAAAACAAAGGGACCAAAAGTCCAAAGTCGGCCCTATTACCTAAGAACAGGCACTGCGAGGCGCTTCCAGCCCAGCACCCTGCCAAGGACAGTCACTAAACCCTGCGACCGCCTGAGCCGAACGGCCCCAACCAACGCCATCCCCCGAGAACCAGGCCTCGAAGGACTTCCCGGGCCAGACCCTGCACCCAACCGTGTCCTCTGACAGCCATTAACGGGCTACATCCCCACACAGCGTGGCAAACCCCATCCTAAATGCCCCCTCGGCTGGCCGGCCCTGGGCTCCTCAGGGCGGGAAACGCCGACGGGGTGTGTGAGGGCAGGGACTCTCCCGGGCTAAGGGCGAGGACGCTGGGAAAGGGAGGCCCAAGCAGCCTGAGGGAGGCTGGCAGCCGGCCCCTGCCGCCGGTGGGCGGGAACCGGCGGAGCTCGGGAAGTCCCCGGGCAGGAGGAGGAGGAGGAGGAGGAGGCGGAGGAGGGCAGTCAGCTGAG